TTTGATATTAACACAATGTTATACGGCAATAACCATGTCCCAAATGTAATAGTCCCATCCCATTAGTAAGTTGAATTCTTTTCCCTAATAAAACGATGCAAATGTAAATCAATATTCTCTTGAGTGTGCAACTTTGTAGTCCAGACTGTAGAATTTAGGCTACTAGATTAGGGAGAGCTTGCATTAATATTAGGGGATTTCTCTCATTTAATAATTAGTTTTGTACAGTTTGAATTGTATAAAATATTTGTTTTTTTTTTAATTTTAAATTACATAATAAAAGGTAATTTTTTCTTATCTCTTAATTCGTTTTATATGTTATTAAATAAAAATTACTATTAAACTATAAAGATGGTAAATAAATGTAAAAAAAAAAATGTTTGCAAATAAAATTCCACTACTAGCGTAAAATAATGAATGCAATATCTTTTTTTTTTTTTTTTTTAACATCGAATATGGTATCAATCTTAATTACTTCTAATGACCAAGTCAACCATTCAAAAATAGGCTCCAATAATTTTGACCCGAAAAGGTAAAAGATCAGCCAACTCCCAAACTCTATAACCATGCGTTGTCCTTTGCAAATTCCAGCCTCGTACCTCTCTAACCACAAAAACTAAACCAACTCCCATTCAACCACCTCCTCTCATGCAAATCCAAAGTTCCTTCACCTACAACTTTTCTCTTTTGCCACCCCACCACTCCTTTTGTGCACCGCTCCCATCTCCCCATGGAGGAGCGGGGCTCAACTGTGGCGGCCACCGACGACCCCCCGCTGGTCAACAACCTAGCCATCCAACTGTCGTCTGCCTCTGGCCACCGACTAGAGACCTATGTCGTTCAAGTCCCCAAAGATCAAATATACCGTGTTCCTCCCCCAGAAAATGCTCGTATTGTAGAAGAGCATCGCAACCGCCTCCCTAGCCCAACGAAGAAGACCCCGTGGCGCAAGTATTTGTTGTGGGCTGCTATCATCTTGGTGGTGATTGGTGTTATTGTAGGTGTATCTCTAACTGCGCTATACCTTTCCTTCACCCCCAAATCACCTGCCTTCTCCATTACGCAGCTCACTGTTAAGAATTCTTCCGACGACGGCCCTCCCAAATACAATTTGGCATTGAAAGTTCAAAACACAAATGAAAAACTAGGGGTGCAGTATGGAAGCACGGATGAAGCATCACTAATTTACTGGAAGCAAACTCTAGCAACGGGCTCATTCCCGGCAATGCATCAAGACGCCGGCAATTCAACCGTCATTCATTTGACACTTTTAGGCGCTGAGGGAAGATTGCCTCGCGATGTGGAGAAAAGTATTGGCGACAAAAAACCATCGCATCAAATTTCGTTGGGACTGAAATTTAATTCGCCATTGGTGATGAATAACTGGGTGTTGAGGATGTGGACAAGAAACATGGACGTGACTTGTACATTTAGGGTAAGCATGATGGGGGCTGGCTCCAAGGTTCTGTCGCAGAATTGTCAAACTAAGTTGTCATAAAGAAAAAAAGGTCGCGTTTTATGCTTCTCAACTTTGTCATGGAAGGAATGTGTGCAGGTTTTTCTCTGGTTATTTAGCTTGTTACGTTGATGTTTTGAGGTTTTTTTGGTTTTCAGAAACGAAAGAAAAAAAAAAAAAAAACAAAGGGTATTATAGAGAGCAACGAGGGCGAATAACATAAAAAACTTACTAATTCCTTCCACCCAAAATCCACGTTGACATTTTGAGGAAATCACTTACGGATTTTAAAATAAAAAACGATATAGTTGTAATATCATATCTTATTGTAAAGTTAATTTTATAATCATGACGTGTTATTATATAATTTATTTTTTTATTTAAAAGTTTATAAATGATATTATATACATCTACTTATCTAATTAACACGTCATGATTTTAACTTTATAATATATGATATTGTAATTATAGTATTGTTTACAAAAATTAAGACAAGATTTTTACATCAAGTATAAGTTAAGGCTCATAAGGGAACTATACACTTGTACTTTCTCAACGTTAGCAATGGTCTTGAATTTCTGGGCTTGAGATCTTTTATATTGTTGGATTCAAATCAAAGCCCAGGCCAGGTAGTTGCTTGAGGTTTAGTTTTTAATGTAAAAAGTTGGCCCTTTTTACTGGGCCGTGGAATCGTTCCATTTACCAGGCTGGAATTGTTCGTTTTAGGACTGAATATGAGTTATCGGCCTAAAAAGAGACTGAATGAAAGATTATTGGGCCTTCTGGCGAGGAATTTTTATTTTAGGGTTTTAACCCCTTTGCCAGTTCTTGTATTTTCCTATTATTTATTTTTTAATTTTTAACTTGCATAATAAAAGATTAAGCAATAATCTCCTATCCTATTGTTTTACCACTCTATCTACAGCTTAAATTCAGGATCTTACTTTTATAGAAAGCAAATTATCACTGTGTTGCTTAGGTATTTTATAGTAGTCCTATGTTTTGGTTTCATCCTTTGCTACTCCTTTTGATTGAAAATGATAAGGATTTTTATTTCTTTAACATTAAGATCTTATTGTTAAGGCCCCATGAAAATACACACTCCAATCTAATTTAGTTATCTCATTTACTAAATAAAGAGGTCTAAATTAGTTATTGCATTTTCATTACAAGAAAACATTAAATACTATTTCTTTTGTCTTAAAATAATAATAATTTTTTTAAAAAATTATCTCAAAATAAATATCATTTTTTATATTTTAAGGAAAAAGAATAATTCTGCTATACTTTAATCCTATAGTTATTTCTTGGTTTTAATTATATATTATGTATCACAAAAAGTTTTTACTTTTGTACATATCTCTTTATTAAGAATAATATAGATAAAGTCAACAAGAATATAACTAAATTGGTATCTACTAAATAAAAATCTTTAATTTGAAGTTAAAGTTGAGAATTCAAAACTTTATCATGTCAAAATAACTAATCTTCTAATGTACCTAAAAAATTAATCTAAATAAAATATAATTTGTTTACAAATTCTTAATATGAAAAAAAGTCAAAAAATAACTATTTTACTTATTATTTTTAGACAAAAAGAGTAATTTTAATTTTATCATTTCTATTATTGTTTGCTTATTAATAAAAAAAATAATAGTAATAAATGTGTTGGGGTCCTTTGTTTTAAGATCAAAATTGAAAAGTTAATAAACATACAATTTAGATTATAAATTTAATAAAGCATTTTTAATAAAACTTTAATATAAAAATATATTTTTATTGTACAATTTGAGTTTAATAAAATGAAATTCATTAGATAATTTTTTTTTTTTTTTATGTGATATGAAAATTTCGCCTAAAAAGAAGTGCTAGAAGTTAAAAAATTAGCTAGGTGGTACTTTAAAAGGGCGTTGGATCAAAGAAAACTTTGGAGTCCCACAACAACAGAGAAAATGGACACTTTAGGACATGTGTTTTCCTTTTTACTCTTCGAAAGTTACTTTACGCCCCTTGTATAATTATTATGAAATTTTGGAAACCAGCCTGCCTAGTGCCTACCTTTTCTTTCGTTAGACGCACTCAGGTCCCTAGGACTGGACATGAGTAGGTGGGAGAAACATTGTTCGTCTCTTTATGGAGGTTCAATGCTCAATAATTATCATTGTGAAAGTGATAGATTTGATGGGATTTAACATATATAAAGGGTCTTTTCAAATTCTTCTCCCATCTCCATCCATCCGCCCGTGGTTATTGCCGCGCATATTGATAATAAATTCACACAATTTTAATTAATAAAATACAAATAAAATTGTGTAAAATTAACATAAAAAAAATATATGGAGCAATGACAACTGCCCATCCAATCTCAAGCTTGAGTTTGGGACGTTTAATACGAAGTCTCAAATTTTTATTTGTTATGAAACTAGTTAAGGATAACACCCATAGCTTTGGTTGCGTTGATCTAGATGTACTTAACTTTTGATTTTGGTTAGAATTTAAGTTGTAATAGCAGCACTTTATCTTTTTTTTTCTTTAATTTCCTCTGTTAAAAAAAAAAAACAAAAATTAATTAAGAATCTAATACCAACTAATTTAGTGATCATCTTTTGAAAGAAAGTATTCAGATGTGTATGTTAGATTTTATACCCAAATATTACTCTTTCATCCTCAAAAATTCCTCTAAGTTCAAGAAAGAAACTAGTTAAGGATATTATATACCGAAAAAGTATATTATGATTTAAATTATATTAAATTATAACATATTAATTATTAGATAAAAAAATTTTAATATTAGAGATTTTTTATTTAATAATTTTTATTTTATAATCCAAAATAATTTAAATTGTAAAATAGAATTATCATTACATAATGTATTTTTTTATTTTACTATTTAAATTATTAGACTGTTAAATAGAAACAATTGAATAAAGAGAGAATTCTTAATATTATGGAACTTCAACGATATAATTTAATGCAATTCATATGTATAATAAATTTTTTTTACATAAATACTAATGATTTATTGACAAAATTTATTCATCATAAGTTCTCTCCAACTATATAATATTAAATAGATGAAAAAATATTTTATAATTTAGATTATATTTTTAAAGTATAATATAATGTATGAATTTATTAAAATATTTTTATAAAACTATTATATATATATTTAAAATACTTTAATAATTTTATAGATTAAATTGTATTTTTTTTATGTTGGTTGCATAATGAGAATGAACCTTTTCTCATCCATTTTTTAACCCCACTCGCATGTTATGTAATTTGAATTCAAAATCTTTTATTTTTAACAAAAAAAGATTATCGTTAAATTATTTAAGTAGTTGAAGATTAAATTGTACTTTTTAATATATAAGTTGATATGTAAAACATAGATTTTAAACAAATCAACCCATAACAAATAACATATTTCGCTAAGGGAAAAGAATATATGCATAAAAATTACCATTATGATGTAAAGTATTAGATTTATTGGGAAGCAATTGAGGGTTATGTTTAAAATTTAAGTCTTAATATTAGTATTTTAAAAAAATTAATTTTTTTGAATAGATTAAATTGATGTGAGAGTATATTTGTAAGATTATTTAGGCAAAAATTAATTTCACGGCACACAAAAGTTGATATAGAGATACTTTGACTGTAAATATAAAAAAGTATT